GGAGGGGGGGTAGTGGTGGGTGGGTGGTGGTGGGGGAGTTAGGGGAGAGAGTTGCCATCTCTCTGTTCCCGCCCACCCCCACCACCACCACCACCGCACACCACCCACACCACCACCCCCCCACCACCACCACCCCCACTTCCTCCACCCCCATCACCACCTCCACCACCACCACCACATCACCAACACCACCACCACCACCACGACCACCCACACTACCACCACCACCACCACCACCCCCCCACCCACACCACCACCCCCCCACACCACCACCCCACCACCACCACACCACCACTCCCCCACATCACCACCACCACTACCAACACCCCCACCATCACCACCACACCACACGACCACCACCACCACCCCCCCACACCACCACCACCACCCCCACATCACCACCACCACCACCACCCCCCACACACCACCACACACCACCACCACACCACCACCACCCCCCACACACCACCACACACCACCACCACACCACCACCACCCCCCCACACCACCACCACCACCACCCCCCACACACCACCACACACCACCACCACACCACACCACCACCACCCCCCCCACACACCACCACCACCACCACCCCCCCACCCCCCACCACCACCCCCCCACCACCACCACCCCCCCACCACCCCCCCCCCACCACCACCACCACCCCCCCACCACCACCCCCCCACCACCCACCCACCTCCCGCAGCAGGTCCTGCTGCAGGCCGTGACGTGCCAGCAGCAGGCGGCGGGAGTAGCGCCGCAGCTCCCGCCGGCCGTGCTCGCGCTGCCGCCGAAGCAGCGAATCCTCCTCCTCCGCCTGCAGGCGCAGCAGGGAGCCCTTCTGCTGGGACAGCCACTCCTGGCGCTCCTTCTTGGGCGTGCTGGGGCTCTCTGATATCTCCTGCAGAGATAGAGAGACAGTGAGAGACACACAGAGAGAGAGAGACACAGTGAGACACTTAGAGACACAGAGAGAGAGACACACAGAGAGAGAGAGAGAGAGACACAGAGACACACAGAGACAGAGAGACACACAGTGACACACAGAGAGAGACACAGAGAGACACACAGAGACACACAGAGAGAGACACAGAGACAGAGAGACACACAGAGAGAGACACACAGAGACACAGAGAGAGACACACAGAGAGACACACAGAGAGAGAGAGAGACAGAGACACACAGAGAGAGAGAGACACAGAGACACAGAGAGAGAGACACAGACAGAGAGAGAGACACAGAGGGAGGCCTTCTGCTGGGACAGCCACTCCTGGCGCTCCTTCTTGGGGGTGCTGGGGCTCTCTGATATCTCCTGGGGAGACACAGAGACACTTAGAGACACTTAGAGAGACACAGAGAGAGAGAGACACAGAGGGAGGCCTTCTGCTGGGACAGCCACTCCTGGCGCTCCTTCTTGGGGGTGCTGGGGCTCTCTGATATCTCCTGCAGACACACAGAGACACTTAGAGACACAGAGACACAGAGAGAGAGAGAGAGAGACACACAGAGAGAGAGACACAGAGGGAGCCCTTCTGCTGGGACAGCCACTCCTGGCGCTCCTTCTTGGGCGTGCTGGGGCTCTCTGATATCTCCTGGGGAGACACAGAGACACACACAGTGAGACACAGAGACACACAGAGAGAGAGAGACACACAGAGAGAGAGACACAGAGAGAGACACAGAGACAGTGAGAGACACAGAGACAGAGAGACACACAGAGAGAGAGAGAGACACACAGAGAGACACAGAGAGAGACACAGAGAGACACAGAGAGAGAGACACACACAGAGACAGAGAGAGAGACACAGAGGGAGGCCTTCTGCTGGGACAGCCACTCCTGGCGCTCTTTCTTGGGCGTGCTGGGGCTCTCTGATATCTCCTGGGGAGACACAGAGACACACAGACACACACAGAGAGACACACAGTGAGACACACAGAGAGAGACACTTAGAGAGACACAGAGACACACAGAGACACACAGAGAGAGAGACACAGAGGGAGGCCTTCTGCTGGGACAGCCACTCCTGGCACTCCTTCTTGGGCGTGCTGGGCTCTCTGATATCTCCTGGGGAGACAGTGAGACACACAGTGAGACACACAGAGACAGTGAGAGACACACAGAGAGACAGAGAGAGAGACACAGAGGGAGCCCTTCTGCTGGGACAGCCACTCCTGGCGCTCCTTCTTGGGGGTACTGGGGCTCTCTGATATCTCCTGGGGAGACACAGAGAGACAGTGAGACACAGAGACAGAGAGACACAGAGAGAGACACAGAGGGAGGCCTTCTGCTGGGACAGCCACTCCTGGCGCTCCTTCTTGGGGGTGCTGGGGCTCTCTGATATCTCCTGCGGACACACAGACACAGTGAGACACTTAGAGAGAGACAGAGAGAGAGAGAGAGACACACAGAGACACACAGAGAGAGAGAGAGACACACAGAGACACACAGAGAGAGAGAGAGACACACAGAGACACACAGAGAGAGAGACACAGAGAGAGAGAGAGACACACAGAGACACACAGAGAGAGAGAGAGACACACAGAGACACACAGAGAGAGAGACACAGAGAGAGAGAGAGACACACACAGAGACACAGAGACACAGACACAGAGAGAGAGACACAGAGGGAGGCCTTCTGCTGGGACAGCCACTCGTGGCGCTCCTTCTTGGGGGTGCTGGGGCTCTCTGATATCTCCTGCAGACACACAGAGACAGTGAGACACAGAGACACACAGAGTGAGACACAGAGAGACACAGAGAGAGAGACACAGAGGGAGCCCTTCTGCTGGGACAGCCACTCCTGGCGCTCCTTCTTGGGCGTGCTGGGGCTCTCTGATATCTCCTGGGGAGACACAGACACACACAGTGAGACACTTAGAGAGAGACACAGAGAGAGAGAGACACAGAGAGACAGAGAGAGACACACAGAGAGACACAGAGAGACACACAGAGACAGAGAGAGACACAGAGACAGAGAGACACAGAGGGAGCCCTTCTGCTGGGACAGCCACTCCTGGCGCTCCTTCTTGGGGGTGCTGGGGCTCTCTGATATCTCCTGGGGAGACACAGAGACACACAGTGAGACACACAGAGAGAGACACAGAGACACACAGAGAGAGAGACACTTAGAGAGACACAGAGACACACAGAGAGAGAGAGACACACACAGAGAGAGAGACAGAGAGAGAGAGAGACAGAGGGAGGCCTTCTGCTGGGACAGCCACTCCTGGCGCTCCTTCTTGGGCGTGCTGGGGCTCTCTGATATCTCCTGCAGACACACAGAGACACACAGAGACAGTGAGACACACAGTGAGACACACAGAGACACAGAGAGACACAGAGAGAGAGACACAGAGGGAGCCCTTCTGCTGGGACAGCCACTCCTGGCGCTCCTTCTTGGGCGTGCTGGGGCTCTCTGATATCTCCTGCAGACACACAGACACAGTGAGACACTTAGAGAGAGACACAGAGAGAGAGAGACACAGAGGGAGCCCTTCTGCTGGGACAGCCACTCCTGGCGCTCCTTCTTGGGCGTGCTGGGGCTCTCTGATATCTCCTGGGGACACAGAGACACAGTGAGACACTTAGAGAGAGACACAGAGAGAGAGAGACACACAGAGACACACACAGAGAGACACAGAAACACACAGACAGAGAGAGAGACACAGAGGGAGGCCTTCTGCTGGGACAGCCACTCCTGGCGCTCCTTCTTGGGGGTGCTGGGGCTCTCTGATATCTCCTGGGGAGACACAGACACAGTGAGACACTTAGAGAGAGACAGAGAGACACACAGAGAGAGAGAGAGACAGAGAGAGACACAGAGACACAGAGAGACACAGAGACACAGAGAGAGAGACACAGAGAGACACAGAGACACACAGTGACACACAGAGAGACACACAGAGACACTTAGAGACACAGAGAGAGAGAGAGACACACAGACACAGAGAGACACAGAGAGAGAGACACACACAGAGAGAGAGACACAGAGGGAGGCCTTCTGCTGGGACAGCCACTCCTGGCGCTCCTTCTTGGGCGTGCTGGGGCTCTCTGATATCTCCTGGAGAGACACAGACACAGTGAGACACACAGAGACACAGAGACACAGAGTGAGACACACATAGAGACAGAGAGACACACAGAGAGAGAGAGACACAGAGGGAGCCCTTCTGCTGGGACAGCCACTCCTGGCGCTCCTTCTTGGGGGTGCTGGGGCTCTCTGATATCTCCTGGGGAGACACAGAGAGACACAGACACAGTGAGACACAGAGACACACAGAGACACAGAGTGAGACACAGAGACACACAGAGAGAGAGAGACACACAGAGAAAGAGAGACACAGAGAGACACACAGTGAGACACAGACAGAGAGAGAGAGACACAGAGGGAGGCCTTCTGCTGGGACAGCCACTCCTGGCGCTCCTTCTTGGGGGTGCTGGGGCTCTCTGATATCTCCTGCAGACACACAGAGACACTTAGAGACACAGAGACACAGAGAGAGAGAGAGAGAGACACAGAGAGAGACACAGAGAGAGAGAGACACAGAGAGACAGAGAGAGAGACACAGAGGGAGGCCTTCTGCTGGGACAGCCACTCCTGGCGCTCCTTCTTGGGGGTGCTGGGGCTCTCTGATATCTCCTGCAGAGATAGAGAGACACACAGTGAGACACAGAGACACAGAGAGAGACACAGAGACACAGAGAGAGACACAGAGACACAGAGAGAGACACAGAGGGAGGCCTTCTGCTGCGACAGCCACTCCTGGCGCTCCTTCTTGGGGGTGCTGGGGCTCTCTGATATCTCCTGCAGACACACAGAGACAGTGAGAGACACAGACACACAGAGACACACAGAGAGACAGAGAGACACACAGAGAGAGAGACACAGAGGGAGGCCTTCTGCTGGGACAGCCACTCCTGGCACTCCTTCTTGGGCGTGCTGGGGCTCTCTGATATCTCCTGGGGAGACACAGACACAGTGAGACACTTAGAGAGAGACACAGAGAGAGAGAGACACACAGAGAGAGACACACAGAGAGAGAGACACACAGAGAGAGAGACAGAGACACAGAGAGAGAGACACAGAGGGAGGCCTTCTGCTGGGACAGCCACTCCTGGCGCTCCTTCTTGGGCGTGCTGGGGCTCTCTGATATCTCCTGCAGACACACAGAGACAGTGAGACACACTTAGAGAGAGACACACAGAGAGAGAGACACACAGAGACACAGAGACAGAGAGAGAGACACAGAGGGAGGCCTTCTGCTGGGACAGCCACTCCTGGCGCTCCTTCTTGGGGGTGCTGGGGCTCTCTGATATCTCCTGCAGACACACAGAGACACTTAGAGACACTTAGAGAGAGAGAGAGACACAGAGAGACACAGAGAGACAGAGAGAGACACAGAGAGAGAGACACAGAGGAAGGCCTTCTGCTGGGACAGCCACTCCTGGCGCTCCTTCTTGGGGGTGCTGGGGCTCTCTGATATCTCCTGCAGACACAGAGAGAGACACTTAGAGAGAGACAGAGAGACACAGAGAGAGAGAGACACAGAGAGACAGAGAGAGAGACACAGAGAGACAGAGAGAGAGACACAGAGACAGAGAGAGAGACACAGAGGGAGGCCTTCTGCTGGGACAGCCACTCCTGGCGCTCCTTCTTGGGCGTGCTGGGGCTCTCTGATATCTCCTGCAGACACACAGAGACAGTGAGAGACACACAGAGAGACACACAGAGAGAGAGAGACACAGAGACACACAGAGAGAGAGACACAGAGAGAGAGAGAGACACACAGAGACACAGAGACACACAGAGAGAGAGACACAGAGGGAGGCCTTCTGCTGGGACAGCCACTCCTGGCGCTCCTTCTTGGGCGTGCTGGGGCTCTCTGATATCTCCTGGGGAGATAGAGAGACACTTAGAGAGAGACACAGAGAGAGAGAGACACACAGAGAGAGACACACAGAGAGAGAGACACACAGAGAGAGAGACAGAGACACAGAGAGAGAGACACAGAGGGAGGCCTTCTGCTGGGACAGCCACTCCTGGCGCTCCTTCTTGGGCGTGCTGGGGCTCTCTGATATCTCCTGCAGAGATAGAGAGACACACAGTGAGAGACACAGAGACACAGAGAGAGACACAGAGACACAGACACAGAGAGAGACACAGAGGGAGGCCTTCTGCTGGGACAGCCACTCCTGGCGCTCCTTCTTGGGCGTGCTGGGGCTCTCTGATATCTCCTGGGGAGATACAGAGACACACAGACACACTTAGAGAGAGACACAGAGAGAGACACAGAGAGAGACACAGAGAGAGACACAGAGAGAGACACACAGAGACACTTAGAGAGAGACACACAGTTAGACACAGACACAGTGAGACACAGAGACACACAGACAGAGAGAGAGACAGAGAGAGACACACAGACACAGAGACACAGACACAGACAGAGAGACACAGAGGGAGGCCTTCTGCTGGGACAGCCACTCCTGGCGCTCCTTCTTGGGGGTGCTGGGGCTCTCTGATATCTCCTGGGGAGACACAGACACAGTGAGACACACAGACACAGTGAGAGAGACAGAGAGACACAGAGACACACAGTGACACACAGAGAGACACACATAGAGACACAGAGACACACAGAGACACACAGAGAGACACAGAGACAGAGACACAGAGAGAGAGACACAGAGGGAGGCCTTCTGCTGGGACAGCCACTCCTGACGCTCCTTCTTGGGCGTGCTGGGGCTCTCTGATATCTCCTGGGGAGACAGAGACAGTGAGAGACACAGAGACACAGAGACACACAGAGAGATAGACACAGAGACACTTAGAGACACAGAGACAGAGAGAGATAGACACAGAGACACAGAGACACACAGAGAGATAGACACAGAGACACAGAGACACACAGAGACACACAGTGAGACACACAGAGAGAGACACACAGAGACACACAGAGACACACAGAGAGAGAGACACAGAGGGAGGCCTTCTGCTGGGACAGCCACTCCTGGCGCTCCTTCTTGGGCGTGCTGGGGCTCTCTGATATCTCCTGGGGACACACAGAGACACACAGAGACACTTAGAGACAGAGAGACACACAGAGACACACAGAGACACAGAGAGACACACACAGAGAGAGACAGAGATACATAGAGACACAGAGACTGCTCATTCAGAGGAGGAGTTGGAGACGCTGCTGCTGAGACTGGAGCGTGCCACTAAGAGGTGGGGCCTTACCATCAGCCCCAACCAAAACTAAGCACCTGCCTGGGTATTTTGTACCATCGGACACTCCACCCCCACAACTCCCAATCGGTGATGGGGCAGTTGTGGAGAGAGTGGAGAGTTTCCCATACCTGGGCAGTGTGCTTATGACTGGCTCCGGTTTAACAGCAGAGGTCTCACTCCGAATCAGTCGAGCGGCAATATCTTTTCATCGGTTGCGTAACGCTGTGTGGAAGCTACCTGGTCTGTCGCTCCGCACTAAGCTTCAGGTCTTCTCGGCCACGGTCATTCCCTCCCTTCTCTACGCTTGCGAAACGTGGACCCCCCTAATGGAACATCTTCGCCGGTTAGAAACATTTAGGCTGGCCTGCCTACGATCCATCCTGGGTTTAACCAGACTAAATTGTGTGAGGAGCTCACAAATCCTTGAAAGATCTGGGCAAGGTCCCATCGGTGAGCTCCTCCGGCGGGCAAGTCTGCGATGGCTGGGTCATGTAGCCTGCATGCCCAGCCACCGCATGCCGAAACAGCTTTTGTTCGGCCGGATTGAGGGGGCTAAGCGGGCGCGGCACGGGCTAGAGAAGAGATGGAGTGACGTGGTACAGGAGGACGTGGAGCTGAGTGGACTTGCCGATGACTGGTACCAGCGGTGTCAAGATCAGCCTCTGTGGAGGAGGCTCGTGAAGGATGCTACTGGGCAGTTGGAGGCAGTCGCCCTCCCAACAACAACGGAGGGCGGAAGAGCGACGCTCACAACAACGAGCGGAGCGCCGGGTGGCTAAAGCACAGCAGGTTGGCACAGTAGGGGGCACAGGTGGTGCATCAGCCAGTCATTTCAGTCAGTCGACCCGTGGCACCTGGGTCTGCCCCGTGACCTCCTGCCAGCGGGCGTTCGACACTTCACGTGGCCTCAGGGTGCACCTAGCCTGGCACAAGCGTCGTGGTGACGTCACCGCCACTTAGTGGTGAATGGTGGTTGTTGTTGTTGTTGTGTGTGTGTGTGAGTGGCTGTGTGTGTGAGTGGCTGTGTGTGTGAGTGGCTGTGTGTGTGAGTGGCTGTGTGTGTGAGTGGCTGTGTGTGTGAGTGGCTGTGTGTGTGAGTGGCTGTGTGTGTGAGTGGCTGTGTGTGTGAGTGGCTGTGTGTGTGAGTGGCTGTGTGTGTGTGTGAGTGGCTGTGTGTGTGAGTGGCTGTGTGTGTGAGTGGCTGTGTGTGTGAGTGGCTGTGTGTGTGAGTGGCTGTGTGTGTGAGTGGCTGTGTGTGTGTGAGTGGCTGTGTGTGTGAGTGGCTGTGTGTGTGAGTGGCTGTGTGTGTGAGTGGCTGTGTGTGTGAGTGGCTGTGTGTGTGTGTGAGTGGCTGTGTGTGTGAGTGGCTGTGTGTGTGTGAGTGGCTGTGTGTGTGAGTGGCTGTGTGTGTGAGTGGCTGTGTGTCTCCCTCACCTCCTTGAGTTGCTCCTTGCGGAGTTTGTATTCTCTCCGCTGTGAGTCTTGAAACTGTGACAGCTCCTTCTTCTGCTGGGACAGCAGCTGCTGCTGGAATCGCTTCTCCTCGGCCTGAGAGCTCTTCAGCTGCAGGGGGCACAGTTCAACACCAACACCACCACCACCATCATCACACCGCGCGTAGCTTTTCGTGGGCTATCGGCGCTTTGCCAAGACATGCGCAGACAAAGATCCCCCGTGTAGCCTCAGGCCAGTGCCGTGGGGGCAAGTGCTGTTACACACACACACACATAGACACAGACACTCACTCACTCACTCACACATTCACTCGCTCACCTATTCACTCACCCATTCACTCACTCACACAATCACTCGCTCACCCATTCACACATATTCACTCACTCACACATTCACTCACTCACACATTCACTCACTCACACATTCACTCATTCACTCACTCACACACTCACTCACTCATAGACTCACTCACTCACTCACAGACTCACTCACTCACAGACTCACTCACTCACAGACTCACTCACGCACTCACAGACTCACTCACACATTCACTCACTCACTCACCCATTCACTCACTCACTCACACACGCAGACAAAGATCCCCCGTGTAGCCTCAGGCAGTGCCGTGCGGGCAAGTGCTGTTATACACACACACACACATAGACACAGACACTCACTCACACATTCACTCGCTCACCCATTCACTCGCTCACCCATTCACTCGCTCACACATTCACTCGCTCACCCATTCACACATTCACTCACTCACTCACACATTCACTCACTCACTCACACATTCACTCACTCACTCATAGACTCACAGACTCACTCACTCACTCACAGACTCACTCACTCACTCACAGACTCACTCACTCACACATTCACTCACTCACTCACTCACTCACACATTCACTCACTCACTCACACATTCACTCACTCACTTACCCATTCACTCACCCATTCACTCACTCACCCATTCACTCACTCACTCACACACGCAGACAAAGATCCCCCGTGTAGCCTCAGGCAGTGCCGTGGGGGCAAGTGCTGTTACACACACACACACAGACACTCACTCACTCACTCACACATTCACTCGCTCACCCATTCACACATTCACTCACTCACCCATTCACTCACTCACACATTCACTCGCTCACCCATTCACACATTCACTCACTCACTCACACATTCACTCACTCACTCACACATTCACTCACTCATACACTCACTCATACACTCACTCATACACTCACTAATACACTTACTCACACATTCACTCACTCATACACTCACTCATACACTCACTCATACACTCACTCACACATTCACTCACTCATAGACTCACTCATACACTCACTCACACATTCACTCACTCACCCATTCACTCACTCACACGCGCAGACAAAGATCCCCCGTGTAGCCTCAGGCCAGTGCCGTGCGGGCAAGTGCTGTTACACACACACACACATAGACACAGACACTCACTCACTCACTCACACATTCACTCGCTCACCTATTCACTCACCCATTCACTCACTCACACAATCACTCGCTCACCCATTCACACATATTCACTCACTCACACATTCACTCACTCACACATTCACTCACTCACACATTCACTCATTCACTCACTCACTCCCCCATTCACTCACTCACCCATTCATTCACTCACCCATTCACTCACTCACACAATCACTCGCTCACCCATTCACACATTCACTCACTCACACATTCACTCACTCACTCACACATTCACTCACTCACTCACCCATTCACTCACTCACCCATTCACCCACTCACCCATCCACTCACCCACTCACCCACCCACTCACCCACTCACCCACCCACCCACCCACTCACCCACCCACCCACCTACTCACCCACTCACCCACCCACTCACCCACTCACTCACCCACCCACCCACTCACCCACTCACCCACCCACTCACCCACCCACTCACCCACCCACTCACCCACTCACCCACCAACCCACCCACTCACCCACCAACCCACCCACCCACTCACTCACCCACCCACTCACACACCCACTCACTCACTCACTCACCCACCAACCCACCCACTCACCAACCAACCCACCCACCCACTCACCCACCCACTCACCCACTCACCCACTCACCCACCAACCCACCCACTCACCCACTCACCGACCAACCCACCCACTCACCCACCCACTCACTCACCCACTCACCCACTCACCCACTCACTCACTCACTCACCCACTCACTCACTCACTCACCCACTCACCCACCCACCCACCTACTCACCCACCCACTCACCCACTCACCCACCCACCCACTCACCCACCCACCCACCCACTCACCCACTCACCCACCCACCCACTCACTCACCCACTCACCCACCCACCCACTCACTCATTCACCCACTCACCCACTCACCCACCAACACACCCACCCACTTACTCACCCACTCACTCACCCACTCACCCACCAACTCACCCACCCACCCACTCACCCACCAACCCACCCACTCACCCACTCACTCACCCACTCACCCACTCACCCACCCACCCACCCACTCACTCACTCACCCACTCACCCACCCACTCACCCACCTACTCACCCACCAACCCACTCACCCACTCACCCACTTACCCACTCACCCAGTCACTCACTCACCCACCCACCCACTCACTCACCCACTCACCCATCCACTCACTGACCCACCCACCCACTCACCCACCCACTCACCCACAAACCCACCCACCCACTCACCCACTCACTCACCCACCCACTCACCGACCAACCCACCCACTCACCCACCCACTCACCCACTCACCCACCAACCCACCCACCCACCCACTCACCCACCCACTCACTCACTCACCCACTCACCCACCCACTCACCCACCTACTCACCCACCAACCCACTCACCCACTCACCCACTTACCCACTCACCCAGTCACTCACTCACTCACCCACCCACCCACTCACTCACCCACTCACCCATCCACTCACTGACCCACCCACCCACTCACCCACCCACTCACCCACAAACCCACCCACCCACTCACCCACTCACTCACCCACCCACTCACCGACCAACCCACCCACTCACCCACCCACTCACCCACTCACCCACCAACCCACCCACCCACCCACTCACCCACCCACTCACTCACTCATTCACCCACTCACTCACTCATTCACCCATTCACCCACTCACCCACCCACTCACCCACCCACCCACCCACTCACACACCCACTCACCCACCCACTCACACACCCACTCACCCACTCACCCACCAACCCACCCACCCACTCACCCACCCACTCACCCACCCACCCACCCACTCACCCACTCACCGACCAACCCACCCACTCACTCACCCACCCACCCACCCACTCACCCACCCACCCACCCACTCACCCACCCACTCACCCACTCACCGACCAACCCACCCACTCACCCACCCACCCACTCACCCACCCACTCACCCACTCACCGACCAACCCACCCACTCACCCACCCACTCACCCACTCACTCACTCACCCACCCACCCACCCACCCACCCACTCACACACCCACTCACCCACTCACCCACCAACCCACCCACCCACTCACCCACCCACTCACCCACTCACCCACCCACCCACCCACCCACTCACCCACCCACTCACCCACTCACCCACCAACCCACCCACCCACTTACCCACCCACTCACCCACTCACCCACCAACCCACCCACTCACCCACCCACCCACTCACCCACCCACTCACCCACTCACCCACCAACCCACCCACTCACTCACCCACCCCACCCACCCACCCACTCACCCATCCACCCACTCACCCACCCACCCACCCACTCACCCACCCACTCACCCACTCACTCACCCACTCACTCACTCACCCACCCACTCACTCACCCCCACACCCCCCCCCCCCCCCCCACCCCCCCCCCCCCCCCCCCCCCCCCCCCCCCCCCCCCCCCCCCACCCCCCCCCACCCCCCCTCCCCCCCCACCTCGCGCTCCAGCTGAGCCGCGTGCTTGCGAGCGATCTTCTCCAGCTCTGTGGAGGTGGTGGTGTCGAGGGCCTCGGCCTCCCGCTGCTGCCGCTGGTGGAGCTCGTCCAGCTCCACGTGCAGGCGCTGCTCCAGCGCCAGCAGCTGCCGCTGGTGCTGGCGCCTCAGCCGCTTGTAGCCCGACAGCTGGTCACGCTGGTCCACGTCCTGACGGTGCTCGTGGATCTGAGACGGCGGGGGTGGTGGTGGGTGGGTGGGAGGGTGGTGGTGGTGGAGAGGGTGGGTGGTGGTGGTGGTGGTGGGGAGGGTGGTGGTGGTGGTGGTGGGGAGGGTGGTGGTGGTGGAGAGGGTGGTGGTGGTGGAGAGGGTGGTGGTGGGTGGTGGTGGTGAGGGTGGTGGTGGTGGAGAGGGTGGTGGTTGGTGGGGAGGGTGGTGGTGGGTGGTGGTGGGGAGGGTGGTGGTGGTGGTGGTGGTGGGGAGGGTGGTGGTGGGTGGTGGTGGTGAGGGTGGTGGTGGAGAGGGTGGTGGTGGTGGTGGTGGAGAGGGTGGTGGTGGTGGTGGTGGTGGAGAGGGTGGTGGTGGTGGTGGAGAGGGTGGTGGTGGTGGTGGTGGAGAGGGTGGTGGTGGTGGTGGAGAGGGTGGTGGTGGTGGTAGGTGGTGGGGAGGGTGGGTGGTGGTGGGTGGTGGTGGTGGTGGGGAGAGTGGGTGGTGGTGGAGAGGGTGGGTGGTGGGGAGGGTGGGTGGTGGGGGTGGTGGGTGGTGGGGAGGGTGGTGGTGGTGGTGGTGGTGGTGGGTGGTGGTGGGGAGGGTGGGTGGTGGGTGGTGGTGAGGAGGGTGGTGGGTGGGGTGGGTGGTGGTGGGGAGGGTGGTGGGTGGTGGTGGGGAGGGTGGTGGGTGGTGGTGGTGGGGAGGGTGGTGGTGGTGGGGAGGGTGGTGGTGGTGGGGAGGGTGGTGGGGAGGGTGGTGGTGGGGAGGATGGGTGGTGGGGAGGGTGGTGGTGGTGGTGTGGAGGGTGGGTGGTGGTGGTGGTGGGGAGGGTAGGTGGTGGTGGGGAGGGTGGGTGGTGGGTGGGTAGGTGGTGGGTGAGTGGTGGGTGGGTAGGTGGTGGATGGGGAGGGTAGGTGGTGGGTGGGTGGGCGGTGGGTAGATGGGTGGGTGGGTAGGTGGGAGGGTAGATGGTGGGTGGGTGGTGGGTAGGTGGGTGGGTAGGTGCGTGGGTAGGTGGGTGGGTAGGTGGTAGATGGGTGGGTGTGGGTGGTGGGTAGGTTGTAGGTGGGCGAGTGATGGGTGCGTGGTAGGTGAGTAGGTGAGTGGGTGGGTAGTGGGTGAATAGTGGGTGGGTAGTGGGTGGGTGGGTAGTGGGTGGGTGGGTAGTGGGTGGGTAGTGGGTGGGGAGAGAGTGGGGAGAGAGTGGGGAGATGTCAATGACCTCGCATGCTGGGCAGGAGGTCACGGGTTTGACCCTGACAATGATAGCGGCTACGTCACATCAGGTCCGTGACCCTGTGACCCCGTGACCCCGTAACCCCTCTACCCTGTGACCCCGCGACCCCGTGACCCCGTGACCCCGCGCCCCCGTAACCCCTCTACCCTGTGACCCCGCGACCCCGTGACCCCGCGACCCCGTGACCCCGTGACCCCGTAACCCCTCTACCCTGTGACCCCACGACCCCGTGACCCCGCGACCCCCGTAACCCCTCTACCCTGTAACCCCGTGACCCCGCGCCCCCGTAACCCCTCTACCCTGTAAACCCGCGACCCCGTGACCCCGTAACCCCTCTACCCTGTGACCCCGCGACCCCGTGACCCCGTGACCCCCGCGTACCAGCCGGATGGGCCTGATGGTGGCGAAGTCTCCGCGGTTTCTCTGCTGCTGATGGTGGAGGTGGTGGGGGGCACGGTGGGGGGGCCCCCCACCAACGGGGCCCCCCCCCTCGGACGCACCCACAACCTGGCCCCCCTCGCTGGGCCTCTCCTGTGGGGGGGGGGTGGGGGGGGGAGGGAGGGGGGGGAGGGGGGGGCAGAGACACGCGGGGGGTGTGATGGGTGGGGGTGTGATGGGTGGGGGTGTGACGGGTGGGGGTGTGACGGGTGGGGGTGTGATGGGTGGGGGTGTGACGGGTGGGGGTGTGACGGGTGGGGGGTGTGACGGGTGGGGGTGTGATGGGTGGGTGTGTGATGGGTGGGTGTGTGATGGGTGGGTGTGTGACGGGTGGGGGTGTGACGGGTGGGGTGTGTGATGGGTGGGGGTGTGATGGGTGGGGGTGTGATGGGTGGGGGTGTGATGGGTGGGGTGTTGTGATGGGTGTGACGGGTGGGGGTGTGATGGGTGTGATGGGTGGGGGTGTGACGGGTGGGGATGTGATGGGTGGGGGTGTGATGGGTGGGTGTGTGACGGGTGGGGGTGTGACGGGTGGGGGTGTGATGGGTGGGGGTGTGACGGGTGGGGGTGTGACGGGTGGGGGTGTGACGGGTGGGGGTGTGATGGGTGGGGGTGTGACGGGTGGGGTGTGTGACGGGTGGGGGTGTGATGGGT